GGCCACCCCACAATCCCTTCTCCTCCTTTCTCCTCTCAGAATCTTGGGCACACACACACATGCGCCCGGTGTGAGTTTAAGCCACCCGGCCTAGGACTCGAACTGCGGTCGACCACGTGGGAGTCTAGTGACATAGCCATTACGCTAACTGCTGGTCTCATATGCATAGTTTTTTTGTGATATGCACTTACGTGAACTTTTTGAGGATTCCTTTTTTTTTTTTTTTTTTTGAGAGAGAGATTTTTCACTATAGGGCGCGTGCGCTAGCCAGACAGAGACGGAGAGACAGAAAGCGAGAAATCACCTGCCAGAGGGGATGGCCACGCCGCAATCCCTTCTCCTCCATTCTCCTCTTGGGATCTTGGGCACGCACGCACACACGCCCGGTGTGGGTTTTAAGCCACCGGGTCTGGGACGCGAACCGCGGTCGACTACGTGGGAGTCCAGTGACATAGCCATTACGCTAACTGCTGGTTCCCAAGGATTCCTATTTTATGAGATCGGCGAGGCACAATTGGGTTTGGGAAAAGGAGGAGTACACAGAGAAGGCATAAAAGGGAGGTGAGGTGCCACAGATAGTTCTGTGTACTTCATGGCTACCCTAGGGACCTGAGACCCACAGGTTTCACGGTGGCTGTTGTTTAGTTTTGCTTATTGTTTAAATGAAGGGTACCTCAGGGGGCAGCATAAGTAGCATCCCTGGGTTGAGATGTTTAGGAAAACAGACCCAACTGCGAATTGTTTAGATGGTTTTTGTCTTTCTCCCTTATTTATCAATAGGACGTTTGTTGGAACCCCAAGTCACAGTGAACTTCGAGCTCTTTGGGAACGGTACCTGCAACATGTCCCTGGAATGCTCTGTGGAGAAGGCAGGCTTGGATGTGACCTACAGCTGGCTATCCTGGGAGGATGGTGCCCATACAGCCCATGAAGGCTGTGTCCTCAGCACATCCTGGAAGCCTGGGGACAATGCCTTCTACACCTGCAGAGCCAGCAACCCCGTCAGCGATGTTAGTTCCCGTCCAGTCTCTGCTGGGCTCTTCTGTGCAGGTACCAGGACCACAGAGACAACCCTGAGCTCATGAAAAATGTGGGCCTCGAGGTACCATCTCTTGTCCCAGCTCTTCCCAAGGGAGTACATGGACTCCAGAACCTAACTGGCTCCCACAGAGGCTTGACTGGGTTGGGGAAGGGGACCCTCACTTGTCCTATTGCCTTTAACTTCCAAGGGTCTCTTTTATTCAACTTGAGAATGCTTCCTAGATCTCTTCTGTGCACAGAATATATATTTTTGGAGACACTTACAAAGGGACGTCAACTGATGGTGAATTTGAGACCCCTCCTGTGGAATTTGGGGTAGGTAGAGTGTCTCTCTTTCTGATGAGCCCCTCTTCCCTCTGTCCATCCCAGATCCTGGCTATCCTTCTGAGAAGCCTGCAGCATTCATCTGCCTCCTGGCCAAGGGGTCACTCCTTCTCTTACTCTTGGTAATTCTGGTCGTGGGACTCTGGGCCACCCAAGTCCAGGAAAGAAGCAACGCACCAAGGACGAAGAAACTCAGGAGACACAGAATGGAACTGAGGAAGAAGAATCAGCCTGGCCCTAGCCTGGCTTGACAGCCTCGGGCAGACCCCTGCCCTTAGTTCTGTTCTTCCTAGCTCCCAGGGAGTCCCTCTTCTGCTCTCCTCCTTCCCTGGGGCTCGGTGGTAGATATCCAAAGGCTCACACTTCTGGGGGAAGAATGTCTGGCAATAAAATGCCCACCACTTCGAAGGAGCTGTATTCAGTCCTCCTATCCTTGCTGGGTGGTTCTGGTAAAAAAAACCACACCCCACGCCCAGCTGCACTGCTTAAATACTGTGCTCTACAGGCTGAGACTGTGCAGGCAGCCCTGTTCAATTCCTAGTCCCAGCTAAAGGCCAAGCATGGTGGAGTATACCTATAATCCCAACGACTGGGGTGGGAGAGCTGAGGCAGGAGAATCTCGAACTCAAGGGTAGCCTGGAAAATATAGCAATATCTTGTCTAGAAAAGGGCTGGGGTGCCAGCAGGTGACAGTGATTGTTGCTAGACTCCCACATGACTGATCTCGGTTTGAGTCCCAGACATGGTGACTTGGAAATCATGCCAGGTGTGTGTGCATGTGTGCCCAAAATCCCAGGAGGGGAGTGGAGAAAGGATTGCGGTGTGGCCATCCCTGCTGGGGAGGTGATTTCTCATTTCCCCCCTCACTGTGTCTCTCTGTCTCTCTCTGGTGAACGCACATACCCTACGGCAAAAACCTTGAGAGCGAGAGAGAGCGAGAGAGCTAGATGTGGCGGTGTGTCTGTGCTCCCAGCTGGGACACTGAGGTAGGAGGATTGTGACAATAAGGCCCTGTCTTAACAACAACAACAACAAGCAAAAAGCACCTTGCCTTCTGACCTTTTCCTTCCATTCCAGTTGCCCTCCTCCAAGCCAGCCTGCTTTCTCAGGCCGGCCTTTGGGAAGGAAAGTGAGTCTGGAAGACGCTCTCCCTGTGAACCTTCGGTGTGCTCTTACTGCCTGTCCTACCCTGCCCTGCTCCCTACCAACAGGCATGTCATTTACACTGCAAATGGGAAAAGTGAGAGATTCTTCCTTCTGTAAAAGAATTGTTTTATTTAACTTTATTTATTTATTTTAATTTGACCAGAGAGGGACAGAGTGAGAGCAAGAGAGAAAGAAAGAGAGAGAGACAGAGAGAAAGCAAGCCACCAGGTCTAGGACTCAAACCGTAGTTGGCCATGTGGGAGTCCAGCATCCTTAACCACCACACCACCTGCTGGCCCCAAGAAAAGTGAGAGATCCTTTAACCTTGCTGGACTTGTGACTCCTGGATGGGCGAATTTCAGGTTCTTAGAATCCTGCCCCACAGCGGAAAATACTTTAGCACTTTACTAAGGGTCAAGACTTGGGATTTCCCAGGGGTGACAGAAAAGTAACTGTCTGCTTTCAAGGAACTCTTTGCAGAGTGTGTAAAGATACAATTACCTGACCTGGCAGGTGGTGTGGTGATTAAGGTGCTGGATTCCACATGGCCAACCATGGTTCAAGTCCCTGACCTGGTGGCTTGCTTTCTCACTTTCCCTTTTTCTCTATCTTTCTCTGGGCAAGCTTAAAATATAACAAAATTAAATAAATAATTATTTTTGGGGGGGACCAGCAGGTGGCATGGCGG